AATTTATTTTGGAGTGGAATAACCATCCAGTAAGAACTGAAAACTGCAGAACCCCTCTTCAGGTATGGATCGAGGGCTTTTACCAGCAGGCATATTCAAGCCAACGAGCTGTAAGAATGGCCTTGGATCATGAAGTGATTGACCCATCAACATATGGTCTTGATGATGATGGCCCAGTTCCACAGCTTCAGACTAACAACAATGTCACGGTTCCACGTTCATCAGTAGAGCTGACAGATGAAGATAGGGCTATTTTAGCATTATCTGTTGATCCACTTGTCGATGATGGTAATCATGGCATTCATCTATATCTTCAAACAATGCAAATAATCACAGCCCTTGCTAGCTAAGCAATGACACAAGAGTTAGACAAAGGTTGCTTTTTAAATGATAATACAGGGCAGTGGCTAGGTCTTCAAGTTGCCAGGTCCAGCAATAATTAGTAGACTTTTTCACTCTTGGTAACTGCTTTTTGTAAGAACAAATGTCAAACGATCCTGCTAAAGGTTTGCCTAATTGGCAACATGTGTTAAAATAGGCTTTGCCGAAAAAGATAAAAGGTTTTTTCTCAGGATGTGTGAGCAAAATTATTGTGGCTGAGTAATTCTAATTTCTTCATATTTCTTAGACCAAAGTCCTCTTAAGTACTGGTAGTTAAAATAATATTAAAAGAGCATACCAGACAACCAGTGACGTCAATAACTATATATTTTGATCACTCTTGTGAGTAATGTTTTAACTATCAAGATTTCAAGGTTGTTGAACCTTTAATGATATAAAACAGTAAAACGTATATAAAAGTGAATGCTTTCAAACTCTAATGAAAACTGTAAAGTAGTTTTCTCATTAGTAGTTACAAGTTACAAACAGTCAAAGACTAGAAATTGTGTACTGTTGCATGCACAATCTTTTTGTATAAACCAATGTTTGATTGAAGGACACTAACAACAGTACATATCTAAACAGGAAGTCCTGTAAACTGCTTTTGTAATGTTATAGGTTGGACCAAAACTGCAATAGTTTTAACATCAGTGAGATACAAACATATAATGAACCAGTGTGAGGAATAACTCCATAGTGCGCTTTCTGCATGTTTCTACATGCAGCCATTTCTTACTTTCATCTTTTTCCAGTCATTGCACACACAATCCTTGTGGTCTCAAAGCCAAAAAAAGTACACTTGAATAATGAAATCAACTTTTAACCCCAAACTGAATTACTGTTATTTGTCATGCAACAAAATACCTCAATGTCTTTGAATTACAAAACTCACTAACGGCTTTGTTTTACAAACGCTTAAATTGGAACATGGCCAATATGCCAAAAAACGAAACGAACTTGCTATGTATATCAAAATGTCCATACAATTATGTTGATCAATCTCTAATTTTCACAGAAAAGTATTGTTCAATATTCAAAATAATGTGACTTGAATAAAAGTATAAACATGAATCTCTGGCAGTTCGTTGTTTTTAAAATTAGTCTTGCCTATTACACTGTAGCTCAGATTTTACCAAAGCCTTGACAATCTCGTAATACAGACATGAATATGTCTGCTACAGCTCCATAACTCTGGTAATGTACTGGCAAGTACATTGTCAACTCACAGGTTGATGAGGTTGGTCTGCACCTGCAGTTTTCTTTGCAGCCATGAAGAAAGGAAACATTGATATGTTTTGGGAACCCTAAGGGTGGCACTTTGTTTGTACCAGTGATAAACTTCATGACATCCTTCACAGAGACTCCATGTTCCTTTGGTTCTAATAAGAAATCAATTGAGAAAAAAAGTTGTTATGCAGTGAATTAGAGTAAACATGAATGAATTACCATTAAGTAAGAGTAAACAAGATATGTACCATGTTCATTTGTTATCTCCACCAATCAGCATTTAAAATTTTTTAAGGGAGAGAGGGGAGGTGGATTTTATAGGAAGCATAAGCGTACAGGCGTCACATTTGCCTGATAGAATTTTGTGTTGTTTTGAAGGTCAAAAACAATACACACTAATAGTCCATTGGGCAAATGTAACAGGGATATGTATGAAAATAATCCACCCAAGAATAGGATAGAATTCAATAACTGTGTCACACAACTGATGGCCAGCACTGACATAACATATTGTGTTAGTATAACAAACTACAATTTATAGAATTGATGGATAGTATGGTTTGCATATTAAGTAAGTTAGTTCTTTACCTGCATATTGCAGAGAGGTGATAAAATCCATTAAATGTTTGAAAACATTTATTTCCCAGTCCTTCATCTTTGTACCTTCATCACTGTATTGGGGGACCATCAGGTGTATTAACTCTTCAGAGGTAATATCGTGCCATCCCTCAAACGTGAACACACTTGCCAATAGTGAGCTATGCTTTCTCATCATATCAAGAACTCCAAATAGGCTTAAACCTTGGGCCATTTGCTCAATCATGGCAATCTTTGGCTCTAAAAAGCTCTTCAGCAACAGGGACCTACAGGCAAGGATTGGAAGTATAATCATATGGTTAACTTTTTTAGGTTTGCAAAAAGTGGAGTCCCATATGACTTCTAAAAACCTGTTAGATTCTCCTGTCTTACAGTTTGCCTTGTACAAGTGCATGTGATAGTGAATTACATTTTATGTATTAAAGGAAGAATTTCACAACTGAGGGTCACTTAAAGCTTTTTGAGTTGTTGGGGTGATACAAAACATTCAATACAATGTAACTTGCAGACCTGACAATAACAGCTACAAAAATGTTTTTAGAGTTGAATTAATTGGCTTTCACGTACAGAGTAGATACATTTCAGTAGATCTTTCTGAAGAATAATAAGGATTTCATTTGAAGTAAGGAGTCTAAGGAGCCTTCACAGACAAAGTTAACAGTGAGGTACTCAACAAACTTTAATATAGCTGGTTTTGACTTCAGTGTTGCACGACTAGGGATGCCTCTGTAGCCAATTACTGTCAGTATCTCCAGGGAAGTATCCTCTTGAAGTAAATTTTGCAAATTTTTATCTGATGTTGCTTCATTCAGCTATAACATGAAAGCAAGAATGTTTTATAAAATCGTTTACTTGCATGACACACTGTACATATAAGCATTGACAATAATTTAAATACAAAGCTGAATTTCAGTAGTAGAAGGTACATAACAGCCCAGGGGGTACTCCTGAATTCAAGTGATGATGATGCTTCAGGGAAATCATTTTTGGGTTAGATTTTTTGGGGTTTTGATTTTTGCCCCCATTCCACCATCCCTGTCACTTGAAATCCAGAGAACCTCCCTGGGCTTCACAGTTTGTTTTGTAAATGAATAAAAGAATCTTTTGGGACAATGGATTACTGCCTGCTGTTTGGAGCTAGAATTGAGGAATAATGAAACTTTTTGAGTTGTAATAATGGAAGGAAAAGGTTTTGTAAGGGAAGTGGGGGGGTGGAGGTGTGAAATAATGAAGAAACCTATTATAATTTCCTCTTCACCCATGAAGCTGAGTTACTGCAGGTTTACCTGTTCTTGAAAATGGAGAATTTTTGGATCCTTTATGACTTGATTTTTGAGATCGAGGTCTTGCATCCCATGACATAAGTAGTGATAAACCCATGGACAAAGAAACCCAGGTGCAGGTCCACCTTGTACTATACTTGAAGCAAATACTTCCCCAGCAACCTTAAATGCACTAGTACCTAAAGCCATGGTACTTTCAACTGGTACATAACCACCATCATCTTCAGTAAAAAGACGTGTCTTGATGGCCTCTGTGATTTCTAAAGAACCATACAAGAGGCCAGTAATATTATAAGGACTATAAGTAAAATAAATTAATACTATAGACCCACAGAAGCCCAGGTGCAGGTGCCAATACAATATTTCTAAATTGCTATTACAAGGCCCCATTACAAATAAAATGGTGAATACAGGATGTAGCCAAGAATAATAAATAATGTTATCTAAACACTAAAACTTAAGGTCAAACACACTCTAGATTCCACAACACAATCCTAGAAACAAGGTTTAAAAACCCTCGGCTTAACTAACAGTTTTTAAACCTGATTACTGCAAGTTTCTTGAACAGCTTCAAAATCTCTGATATAGATCAACTGATTCTTGCGCTAATATTTAGATTTGGGGTTATTTTGGTCTAAAAACATTGAACATAAAGTTTAGCAGTGTCTTTATCAGATATTATAGAGACACTCATTAAACATAAATTTCTTTCGTTTCTCTTTATGAATTATTAAGAAGTTTTTTAATTAAATTTTGACCTGTTACACATTATATAACCATGGGCGTGCATATATAAAGATTTCTTCATAGTGACTCAGTCAGACTTTCAAAATAGGGCAATTAAAGCTAACCTGAATAAAACTCACGGGTAGGGCCCCCATCATCGATTGCTGCCTCTCCAACAAACTGAATGCGAACACCATTCTCTGGTTTTATCCACGGCTTCTCCCTAGCTTCCATGTAATCATCCCAAATGAACTTTCTTCTGATGAACAAAAGAGCTGGTGGTTTCTTAAGGAGAGCACTGCACTTCTCCAAAAGATCTTTAACGGACACTTCTTCATTAATTTCACTGGGAGAACTTGTGTCGACTGGCTTTGAATTCCACTCCCCTGCATCTTGAGGATCTATCATTATTGATTCATACAGGCAAGTTTCTGGGTTTCTTATGTTCTCACAACAGGTGTCGGCATGAACTTCAATTTCTGATAATGGGAATTGCATGTTACAAGTTGGGCATGTTGGATATAGCGTAGGCAGTGAAGAGGCAGTACAAGTTCTTGAACCAGAGGAATACTGATTATCAGTTGCCACTGACCCAGAGATTGTACTTGTTGATGAAGAAAGCCTTGCACTTCGAGGTGTTGGGCTCCAATCAATCATGGGTGGTAGATCATCATCTTCACTAACAGTTAGCGACTGCTTATTGGTGTCTGAGGAGAGCCTTGCACTTCCATGTTTACTCATGGGTGGTGGATCATCATCGTCACTCGCATTCAGTGACTGCTTGAAGGTTCCACTCCTTGAGTATGCGCGTTTCCTTCTGGGTAAAAAGTCATTATCGCTCTCACTACTTTCGTCCTTCTCATCATCACTCACCCAACTGTAGTCGGTTTCTAATGGGATTTTGCATCGAAGATAAACGGGACCCTGCGCACAAAGGTGTTTTAACACCCTACCATCTATTCCACCAGCAACGTTTGGGCTAATGATCTTGTTACCTACAGCTCGGACAATTTCAAAGTCGTTTCCATTCAGTTGATTTGAAAATTCTGTTTTAAAACTATTGTAAATTTCTGAAGAAGACATGTCTCCAAAAATTTCGAATGCTGTGGCAACTAGCTTTCGCACATACAGTTCTTCCCTTTTTCGGCCACGAGGAACAGAACTGATGTTCGGATTGGGTAAAAGGATAATGTCCTTTATCGCAGAATTTTGATTGCCTTTCGTAGCTTTTGGCCAGGGTTGTCGACGGCGACTGCTTCTCTTTGGCTTCGCTTCCTCACTCCACTGACTGAACTGTGGCACGCCGTTGTTTGTTGTTGATGTTGTGGTTGCTGCCAATCGACACGCTGACGAATTTCATCTCGTGCTTGGAAATAGACGGGCAAGTGTGTCATTAACGTCTTCTTCACTACTTTCTCGTTGACTTGCTGCTCTGGTTTGTTCCCTTAGGCCATCGACAAGGCTAGATAACCTGTCCACGAGGTCCTTGTGAGAGGCCATGTTCAGACGCTACCTTCGCTAACTCTCACTTTCCCGCGCCGGGCCGTGGGGATCGCCAGGAGCTAAAAAAGAGCGCCCGCTTACCAAATAGCTAGACTTTCCAAAGTCGGATTTCATGTGGCGCGAGCGGCTGGCAAAAATGGCGGGAAAGTCGGGGGTATTGCGTGACAAGTTTTATATATCGTAACAAGTTTTACTTTTTAACAAGTTTTATATATACTTATATTTTCAACGAGAATATTTGTAACAAGTTTTATATAACCATGACTTTTATTTATAGAAAGACAAGTTTATATTTGCAACGTTTTATAAATTGCATGACAAGTTTTATATTTTAACAAGTTTGATATATTACGTAACAAGTTTTATATATTTTGCAACAAGTTTTAATTGTGCACTATAACCTTAATACTAAAATTAAGAAGTTTTATTCATAAAGCAAAATGTTTTATATACTTAATGTAAAGGTTTACATATGGTAAGAAGTATTTTTGATTACTTTTCACTCCATTGATACCTCACGATATGTTTCCTGGTCAGCATTGCACTTCATTGCATTTCAGGGACTTATTTGTGGGGTTGCAGTATTATACTGAAAATGATTTTTAACAGTTCCGACCATTCTACCATTTTTATCACCGCCCCAGTCTTATTCACTTAAACTAATTGCCCAACGCAAGAGGGAAAAACACAGGTTTTAAATCGCGTAACATCATTTATTTTAAAGTTCATATACAGGAACAAAGTTTGATAATCCTGACAGGAAAACGTGCAAAGTTGTGTCAGTTGATAAACCTAACTCTAAAAAGTGTTCGAACATGTTGACAATTCATTCAAAGAAATATACAAGGTACAGTTGCAAGGTTGATTGAAATATTCAGAATGAGTGATTTCAAAACATTTCAATTTTTTCTAAAAAAAAGTTTTGCAAAAATTAAAACAGAATTCAAGGTGAAGATATTAAATTTAATCAAACAATGGCAACAACTTGAGAGTAATCCATCCATTCTCCATCCTATGCCCATCATCACTGCCACTCCTTACAGTAAAGGAGATTGTGGGGAGGGAGGCTGCAGTGGAGGAGGATGTACTGGTGTGACAACTAGCTCCACTGCTAATCAACGACAATGGCCATGCATGTGAACTAAAGGGTGGTTGGCTTGTAGGTGGATCTCCTTAAACTCTGGGGTTTGAAAGAATTAATCAAGGAGCTGGCATCTAGCTGCTGCAGGGTCTCCTTAACCATCTGTTCACACCTTCATCTGTTTTACTAAAATCTGCAAAGCACAGTCATTGAAAAAAGTTAGCAATAACCACAAATTAGTGCCCAAAATAGTGGTTAAGGTAGTTTATTTTTGTACATGTGTATGAACCTCTTTACTACCCATGCTTATAATAACATCATCAACCACAACAATAATAATGATAATAATAATGTGATGTTAAGGATAATAAGACTTTCAAATTTCTTTCGGATTTCTGTAAATAAACAGAAATGAAACTGGATCACAATCGCCTTGACACCGTGTGTGGGGACCAACAGAACAAAAATTGCCTCATCACTGATATTGCATGTCCTTGTGACAAAAGGGTGGACATCGAACAAGAGATCAACAACAAATATAGTCAACAAGACTTAGTATCTTCATCTGGCATGAAGATACTACTTGTGGAAGATGAAGGTGTAAAAGTTGCCCCTTTTGTTTTGGAGCACTGGGTACTATTCTGAAGACCTGGAGGTTTAAATGAAAAAACATAAATAATTCTGGGATTGAGTTGGCACTGC